CTTGGGTAGCTACGGATGGCGTTAAATGGTAAATTATGCTTTGCTTTTATATTCAATCAGAAGAAACAGAAAATCATGTGCATTGGATTTCCCAAGTGTATGATAAATCTGAAAATATTTGCTAGACATCTAGCATAAACTGAGTACTGACTTTAATCTTCATTTTCTCTTACAGTTGCCTGGCCACGAGCTTTCTTTAAATGCCATCAACCTAAAGCTGTTTCTTTCATGGATAAATAAGTAATTTTGTCAGAGAAATCAGACTAGCAATATAAGTCCTGATAAAGTGCCTAGATTTACACATTTTGTCTTCATTTTCCATGTTTTAACTTTATATCCCCTGTGAAAGGCCGTATTCCAAGCAGCAGTGTACTCTGGAGACCCACACTCATTTTTTAGATTTTGTATTAGTATTAATAGTTTAGGGTGGTATGGGTTGGATGCAGGTTATGCAGGCCTTCTGACCAAACTGTAGGAGAGCACTCACTATTTATCTGTTGGTAGAAGAATATGAGGAAACCTAAGTGTAATCTGTTTGAGTAATTAGCTCTTATTTGTCTCCAGAAGAGCAGTTGGTTCTTTCCATCTTACAGGAACTCCAGTCAGTCTTTTAAAAAATTTCTTATGGAAAGCCAACCAAAATATTTTGTCAAAGTCTCCTCTTTATTCATTAGTGGGTTTTTTGGCATGCAAATGACTGCTGGGTCACACAGTGAATGTCGCTAAGGTATTACTTTAGGATGTGGTTGAGTAACTTTGCATAATGAGACCTACTTCTGATTGTCTAATTAGTTATGCATAGCTATAGCAATGCAAAACATGCCTCAAATAGAAATCTATTGTCATAGGTTACTTGATTACATGAGTATGGCTTCCACCTGTATTATGGTTCCTCTCTTTGGAATGACAAATGCCACAGGCTTCTATTGAATATTATAAGAAATCTTTAATGCAATTGTATCAGCTACACATTTTAATTAATTTTTCAATGTCATTCATCACATTTGAAAAGGGAATCTTACTATGTATGATATTTCAGTGTTTTTACTGAGAAGGCCTCTGTAATTAAAAAAATAATAATTGATAAAAGGATGCTAGTCATCCTTTTGTTCTCATCAAGCAGCATCCTTCATATTAAGTTATATTCAGATAACATATCCAGGTAACATAAATGTATGACTTTGCTTTATGTTTTGGTAGGCCAAAAATTTCCACAAAAGTTGCAACTATCACACTTCTGAGGAGCAGGATGTGATTATTAATGTAGAGGGAGTAGAACCTCTTTCTGATTGATACTCCATCCTTAGGAAAACTGCACAGTACAGACGAGATGTTTTCATTTGTGGCCTGACGTTTATTAGCTTCAGTGAGGATAATTAAGAAAAATACACAGCCAAAGGTGCTGTCCTGTCTTAATTCTGTTGTGCTCTTGTCAAGCTTCTAAAGCAGGGAGTCCTGCCACATTTTCAGGTCATAGGATAGCACTTGCCTTTTATCAAGACTTCTTGCCATGGCCAAGATAGATGGAGAATGCCTTTCTATCAAGAGTAAGAAAATAAAATGGAACTTCTGTACAAACTCATGTATGTCCAGAACAGTAACTCACTGTTACTCATATAACAGTGCAAGTCTTAAAATATATAACTGACCTACTGCAAAAATTTGTGAAGAGGTTCAAAATTGTATACAGGCCTACCCTTTCCATTTGGTCTGCCAGGACTGTGGCGTTGTGAAGGATTGTAAGTGGAGAAATTTAAAGGAGCAAGTTGACTGCTCTGAGAATTAAGACCTTTTTTTGTCTTTGAAATCCAATTCCTCAAATCCTCCAGGGGTATAAGATCAATTTATCATTTGTCATATCCAGATGGTAAGTAAATGAACAGTTTCACCATTGGGCTTGCTATCCAAAATATTCCTAGAGGAATATAAATGAATGCATCATTTACAGTGGCCAGATGGCAATACAGAAGACAGTTCCATGTTCTAGTCATTATACAGCTTCTACTACATTGCATAAACCTATTCTGGCTTATTTGGTTCACCATCTGCAGAAAGGGCCATAGAAAATTAAAAGTGTGAATGTAAGGATTTACTTAATATTTTAGAGAACTTGGAGCTAGTATTCAGGTACTGTGTTTCTACGAGGAACAGCATTGATCAGTCAATATTTGTTTGTCTTTGAAATTTCATCTAATGACAGGGGGTGTGTTTAGCAGCAGATAAAATCATATTGGAACACACTTCAGCAATTTAAATAAGTGCAAAATATACCCTTTTTCTTCATATTTATATATTTTCACATGGCTTAACTGTAAAACTGATATATGCTCAAGGGTTTTTTTTGCCTAAAATCACCGTGGTTCCAAATTTTATCAAATTTGTATCATTAACAATAATTATAGATATTTTATAGGAAATATTTCAAAAGATCAGCTCATCAGTCATGCACTCTGTTCATTTGGGAACTCTCTGGGTCTTTATGCCATGGGTGAATATTTATGCTAGCTATTGTGAAAAGAACTTTTATGGATAATTATTTTTATAAGCTCTAGGAATATATTCTTAGTTGTCTGTAAAGATGATGTGAGATTGTTGTGACATATGAAATAGAAGATTTAATTAAAAAATTGTTATCAGCTGGGTAATTTTACATAAGTATTTAATCCTGAATGTAAAAAGGTATATTGAGTTAGCTGAGTGTCTGCTGTTACTGGGCTTTCCCATCTAAGACTTCTTAAGAGAACAATAGATTCTTTTGACATAAAAATATTCAGCTACTCTGTATGAGAATGGCTAGTAATGAGTTTTCTATATATTCTGCAGTAAACGTAAGAATTATGTGAAAATGAAATAAGGAGTTACAAGGTGCTTGGAGTTTAAAACCATGATAAATTATGAGATTTTTAAAGTTACTGTTTAATGATAAATTCAACAAAAATTTGGAAGCAATTTAACTTTAAGGCTATTTACCATGGTTTGTTTGTTTTCTGGGAACCAAGATAACAGTCCTGTAGTAAGTACATGAGAAAATCATCCTTCATTATGTGTATGTTTCAAAGGGAAAATTACATACGCAGCTGTCTAATGAGTTCCTACCTTGATTGTGGTCTACTTTCATATGTATCAGAAATAGACTGTATACTGGGAGATCTGATTCAATCGTTTCTTGTAGAGAAGTTAATACAAGTGCATGTGTAATATGCCAAGGTTTAAGCTGAAAAAGGGTGACATTTTTAAAGAACTTTAAAAGAACAAAAAATTTTAAATATTTTTTTTTTATTATTCTGTGTGTATCTTTCAAATGTAGGAATCTTCACAAAAATGCCAAAGGCTGCAGATAGAATTTTTAAAGATTTTCTTTTAAATATAGTTTTGAAATCGACTTAATAACTTCTAAGTTCTGTGCTTCTGTTCATGTAATGTACTTTCACCCTTTTTCTGACATACTCCATTTCTTCCCACGTAATTTCTAACTGTGTAAACCAGAAGGCAGATTCAAAGTTGAGCCATTTATGTAAATATTTCAGATCATTGCTACCTTTTTTCATCTTCATATTTTTTTCAAAAGATGTATTTTCTTAAAACTGTTATAAAATTAATTTCTAGCCCAATGGCACACTTAAGATTTGATGTTTTACCTTTCTAAAATGTAGTAGTTAGTTAGCTCTTTTTTTTCTGTGAGATCTGTAGAGTTATAGTAATCAGATAAAATTTAATCCCTGATAAAGCCAGTTGCTAAACTAAACTTTATTGACCTCGTTAGAGCCAGGGTTGCATTCATTAGGTGAATGAAAGCTTCTTGTTGGATTTAAACTATATAGAAAATATTAACTAGAGCAGTTCTAGAGAACTGTAAATGTTTCTGAAATTAATTCTTCCTTCTCTAATTATATATAGGCTATTTAGCTTAGGCAGCTAAATACTGGTGTAGGGCAGTCATGCACAATGTTTGTATTGTAAGAGAAGCCATAAAAAGTCCCTATATTTAACTTCTCTAACACTCATTATAGAATTAATGCACCCTAACATCTCATATTTGGTGGGGTACAGTGTGAAAGAAGTTTGTGAGTAGTAAAGTACTGAAAGAAATATTAGCATTTGCATTCATCAGGAAAATTATCCCTTCTAATGTTAATGGCTTCTAAAGTCAATAGCTACTTTTCCAATGCCACCACAGAAGAAGCAGATTCTGCTGTTGAAATGCAACAGGAGCTGCAATTGCAGCTGAAGGGATGCATTCTGTGCAGATCAGTTGCATTGATGATTAAGGGGGTAGAGCATCTCCCTTATGAGGAAAGACTGAGGGAGCTGGGTCTCTATAGTTTGGAGGAGATTGAGGGGTGACCTTATTAGTGTATATAAATATATAAAAGGGGAGTGTCATGAGGATGGAGCCAGGCTCTTCTCAGTAGCAAACAATGATAGGACAAGGGGAAATGGCTACAAACTGGAACACAAGAGGTTCCACTTAAACTTGAGAAGAAACTTCTTCTCAGTGAGAGTGACAGAACACTGGAACAGGCTCCCCAGGGAGGTTGTGGAGTCTCCTTCTCTGGAGACATTCAAAACCCGCCTGGACACATTCCTGTGTAACCTTATCTAGGTGTTCCTGCTCCGGCAGGGGGATTGGACTAGATGATCTTTTGAGATCCCTTCCAATCTCTAAACATACTGTGAAATGCATTTTAGATTTTGAAGTGCTTGGTTATGCACAAAACCAACATTTTATATTCAGGGAAAGGAGAATGGGCATTGATACATAACTGATATTGTTTTGTGATGATTTGTAATCTGTGTTATTACCTGTTACAATCTGAGTGGACTACCCAAATTGACCTAAAATCGCTGCTAAAATCTTAATGCCAATCTCTCGAATACGGTCTGTTCCTATAATAACAGAGGAAAACCTGTTTTGATATTTTCATAGAAAATCCTGAAGTTAATGTCAGAAAACCAATGGTTCAATCTCTTTATATACAATAATTAATCTTCTTTTATAGTGAACTTATCCTATCCAGCATTGACATTGATGCATCTGGAGATTGGGAGTGTCTAGTAAACAATTCGTATGGAAATAGCACTAAACATGTAGAAATTGTGGTACTTGAAACGGCTGCACCCTACTGCCCTGCAGAAAGAATCATTAATAACAAAGGAGATTTCAGGTATGATTTGCTGGTTTTGGAGTGTCTTTCATATATTAATATCTCTACAGGCAATATTCATGCTTATGGACATGATACTTCAATGTCGGATATGAAGATGTCACTTGCTGCTCACTTGTTTGTCATAGTGGGAAGGAGGAACACACTGTGATTTTTTACGGGAAATGGCATTTAGTGCCTCAAGAAGAGCACTGGTTTCTGAAAGTCAGAAAATGTTTCTAATTCCTCAGTGAGGTTATATAAAAACTCAAAAGATGTAGGCTCTTAACAGCTAAATGAGACAGGGTTCAAAATTGTTCTTGGTTATTTTTCAGAATGGCAGAATATGATGACACTGTATTAAAGCATTAGCAGATTAAATCTTCAGGACTCTTCTGGTCTGTTGCAGTTCTGTTGGTTTTGTTCAGCTGAGATTAGAAGTAACAAATGACATAAAACTGTTAGTAAAATATTTCACTGAAGAGACTCAAAATAGCAAATAAAACTACCTAGTAAAACAAACAGATTATTTGAGGTGAGCTTAAGGGCACAGAGTTCCCACAATATATCATACAATTAGAAAACAAATTCATCCTGCTATCAGAATGTTAAAATCTGTACAGTTTTGTTCACTAAAGCGTAATTTTTGTGTCATCTTTATTTTTGTCTACTTATGCTGGTGGGTTTTTTTTTTGGGGGGGGTTTATTTGTTTGGGTTTTTTTTTTATTTCTCATAAACTGAAGGAAAAGTTAAGGTTTCTGTGGAATTTGGTATTATTTTCAGTTAGCTGTAATATACTTCAACATTATGCATAAAGCTCTAAAACAAAATATAAATTACCTGCTTGACAATAAGACTGATGTATGATGACATTCCCATTGAGAAATCAAGAAAGTAATTTGTAACCAAGTGAACTGTATTAAAAATTCAGCTTGAATAGTTAATGAAAGGAAAAGCAGAAGAGAGAGGAAGCTTCTCTTCAATACCAGAACTTTCTGCATATACTTCTGACCTGAAAGCCTATCTTCATTTTTAAAACTTTTTCAAAGGCCTTTCACTATTATTTCTTCTGTTTGAATAAAAAAAGAATAAATTACATATTAGAGAAATTGACTCACATAACTTATTTTCTTTTAACTAGAAAAATATTTATTATGTGTTAGACAGTAGTTCCATTTGCTGACCATATATTTATAAACCTATTTAATACACATATATGGATTAAAGTCCATTAGAGATCTTTGACAATTTCAGCTATAGATTTTTTATTTTTTTTCTGTCATGAGAAAAGCTGCCATTGTGTTTTCTCATAGTAGACATGCTTAAACATATTTTAATTAAATCTTTTAAAATATGTATACTTCCTATCAGATAACACATACTGAATCTTTTTGATAACAACTTTATGAAGTTTATTTTCTTGCCATGACATCCTTTTCTTCATAAATAAATACATATAAATTCTATAGACCACACAAACTAACACCAGGATCATTTTTTGTCATTTTATATAAATCAAAAGAACAGGAATGCACATTTCTCTCCCTATTGACCATATTTCTAGAAATCAATACAAATTTATTTTTAAAATTTATGTCAAAAGGATGCTGAGTCCATAGGTTCTTTGGGCATTTGAGGGAATGAATTTAAAATTATAGTGAATTTGTCAGGCTCAAAGAGCATTAGAACTTGAAATTGTTCTGAAGGTTTGTCTGAGAGATGCAGCTGGCACACCAGTAGTTCTTCTCACAAAGGTATTTGAACTTTTGGTAACATAGCAAGTATGTAAGTAGAAAGAGTTGAACCACAAAAGCAAAGCTAGAAAGGGCAATTCTTTTATTGGGTAAAAAAAGGAAGTGTCGTTATTTCAGCTGACCAGCCTAGGTGGTATTTATAATTGCACAACTGCAGTAAGAATTAGACACTGTGAGTCAGAATGAATTTGCCTTATGTACTAGGAGATTTTTTATCTAATGGACAGTTTGTTCAGTTTTTGTTTTCCAGCTCTCTGTAAGATCATTCTGAAATGCAAATGGTAATTGTTATGTTCTAACATTTCTATTTGTGAAGGCCAGATTCTGCTACCTTTACTAACACTAGTTTCAGAGTTATCTCTTTAGATTTACTTTAGAGGTAAGTTGTTACTCAGTGTGGCCCAATTGCATTAATGCAAATGTTTTACTAAAAGTAATATTTCAACTCAGACATGAAAGGAGAATATACCACTGTACATATTTTGATTTTGTTCTGAAGCACATTTCACAGTTCATTTTGCATCAATTGTTTTTGTATCACAAAATTAATTATTCCAGTGATAGTTAGCTAAAAGATATGAAAATATTTTTCTTCTTACCTTTTCTTGGTTTGAAATAAGGAAAACTTACATAGCCCCAAACCTGTCAGCATACTGTGTAACAATATCCAAATCCACCTACATTTTGTAACTTAGAAGGGATAATATGTATGTTTGAGCAAAGGTTAAATGGCTAGGTGTGGCTTCACTGGTAGGAAAAGTATTTTTATGATTGACTGGGTTCAGTCATGACGTAAGTGCAATTAAAGAACTATAACCTTTCCAGAGATGCTGAGTGTCTGATGATACCTTTCTGATTTTTTTTTTTTTTCTCCCAATTGATCCTGCTTTGTCCATACTAGAAAATGACAATGGATTTTGTAGCAAAAGAAATAGATCCGACTTATGTCATTCCAGAGAATGCAGTGGATATAGAGAAAAATAGTATTGTATAATAATGCTTAATATGCTATATGATATATATAATATAATAATTAATATAATAATTGTCAGTCAATCTCACCTTGATACCTGGCAAGACCATGAAACAGATCCTTCTGGAAACTGTGCTAAGGCATATGGAAAATATAGTGGTGATTGGTGACAGCCCACGTGGTTTCACTAAGGGCAAATCATGCCTGACAAGTTTGGTGGCATTCTATAAAAGGGTATAGCATTTGTGGATAAGGGAGGAGTGACTGATGTCACCTACCTGACCTTGTGCAAGCCATCTAACACTGTCCCATATGACATCGTTGTCTCTCGACTGGGGAGATAGGGATACATAATTGGCTGGATGGTAGCACACAGAGAGCTGTTTTCAATGGCTCGATATCCAAGTAAAGTCTCAGTGAAGAGTGACATTCCTCTGGGATCAGTATTGGGGTGAGCACTTTAACATCTTTGTCAGTGACATAGACAGTGGACTTGAGTGCATGTTTGCCAATGGTACCAACCCGTGTGCTTTGGTCAATACTCTGGAGGGAAGGGTTGTCATTCAGAGGGATGTCGACAGCCTTGGGAGGTGGGCTTATGTGAACCTCATAAAGGTGAACAAGACCAAGTACATGGGTTGGGGTAATCCCAGGCACAAATGCAGGCTGGCCAATGGATTGAGAGCAGGCCGTAGAAGAAAGACTTGGGGGTGCTGGTTGACGAGAAGCCCAACATGACCTGACAGTGCGTGCCTGCAGCTAAGTTAACTGTATCATGGGCTTCATTAAAATAAGTGTGATCTGCAGGTCGAGAGAGGTGATTCTCCCCCTCTACTTGGCTTTCATGAGACTCTGTGTGGAGTACTGTGTTCAGCTCTGGGGCCCCCAACATAGGAGGGACATGGAGCTGTTGGAGCAAGTCCAGAGGAGGGCCACAAGAATGACCAGAGGGCTGGAGCACCTCTCCTGTGAAGTGGCTGAGTGAGCTGTGGCTGTTCAGCCTGGAGAAGAGAAGGCTCTGAGGAGACCTTATAGCAGCCTTCCAAGCTGCTAACCTAAAGGGGGCCTACAAGAAAGCTGAAGATGGAGTTTTTACAAGGGCATGTAGTGATACAGGACAAGGGGTAATGGCTTTAAACTGACAGAGGGCAGATTCAGATTAGACCTGAGGAAGTAATCCTTACTATGAAGGCAGTGAAACAGGGGAACAGGTTGCCCAGAGAATTTGTGGATGCTTCATCCCTGGAAGTGTTGAAGGCCAGGTTAGACAGGGCTTTGAGCAACCTGGTCTAGTGGAAGCAGTCCCTGCCCATGACAGGGGTTTGGAACTGGATGATCTTTAAGGTTTCTTCTAACCAAAACCATTTTATGATTCCATGAGCTAAATAGAATAATTCTGGCTGATCTTGATTTATAGTTTTTTCAAAGGCTGTTTTGAAATCCTACTACAGAAGTCATGTATACCTAAATAGTTCAACAACTGAGGGATAGCTCCTTCCTCTTCCATGGGACAGAGTCTGTACTGAACTCTTGTTTATTGGTTTCTGACACATTCAGGCATTTTTTCTTTTGGGGGCTCTGTGGCACAGAGGGCTTTGCCAAGTTTGGTCAAAATACAAAGCAAAGATTGTCAGGAATATCTTTTGCAGTATTTAGTAATAGGGTTTTGTTGTTTTGGGGTTTTGCGGGTGGGTCTTTTGGTAGGGTTTTTTTTTGGTGGGGGACAGGGTTTGTGTTTTTTCTTCATGGACTTGCTGCTCTGCTTTGTGCAGTCTTCAGAGATGTATGTAGGGAAAATGTCATCCATATTTTTTCCTTATCACTAAAAACTTTCCTGGAACTAATGCAGAAGTAATGTATGACCAGTCAGACATGAACCTGTATAATTTTGACATTTTCCAAGGAAACAAAGTAATTCATTACAGAATATAATGAGGTAAAATTTAAAATAGCTTTTTCCTCATACATTCTGTATATTGTTGCTACACTGTAAGTTGCCTTTAAATAAGAAATTTCTTGTTGTAATTTTTAATTTTTATGTTGTTCTTAGATGGCCCAAAACTTTGGCTGGGATAACTGCTTACCATCCCTGTCTCCAGTATTCGTTTAAGTCCATTGCCTTTCACAATGGTGCAGAAGAGGCTAAGGCATGGCGTAAATGTAATCGAACTGGACGTTGGGATGAAGAAAACTATTCTGAATGTCCTTATTCACAAGAAGTAACTCAGGTTCTTCATGCTTTTAGTCAGGTAATGTTATGAATTCCAGGGCTTCCCTTCTCTAGTACTGATATTACAGAGTAGCTTGTACAAAATGTCTTTTCAGCTACAAATTTGGGATAGATGGACTTTTTAGAAAATGTTTTACTTTGAAGGGGTTTTTTTGTTTTGTTTTGATTTTTTTTTGTCTGAGTGTTGGACTCTACCTGACCATTAGAAATGTTGGAAGTGTCATCAGTGCTTCACTTTAGTTCTTTCTTTGATTTCCCCTAATGTGTTTTTACCAGAAAGATGTTAATTTCTCTTGAAGTCCTGTATCAGACTTTTGTCATCTGAAGTGCCTTTCGTCATTGCCATTGTCCATAATACATTTTAAAAAGCTACAGATATGAAGCCTACTTCTAAATGCCTTATTTGATGTCTTCCCCAAAAAACAGTACCTAAATGGTTTCTTGTAGATAAATGAGAGAGAATGAGATAAAAAATTAAATGAATAGAAATGAATGAGAAAGAAAAGCATAATGGGGACAGCATGGAGGATGGCACAAACCTGTAACTGACATAAAAACTTTTACAGCTTTCAGTTTCCTTGATCATTTCTTCCCAATCAATTTTGCAAGATAACACCACAGGAAGTTTGTTTTCAGATGTGTTCATACTTAAATAGAAATAATTACTACATTAAGAGAGAGCAGTTGCAAGAGAAAATAATTAGGAGGGTCTCTCAAATTCTGTCAATCCTACTGTAATGAAGGATAGGCCAGGTTTCTCAGGGCTTTAACCACCCAGGTCTTTAAAAGCTGTGAGCATGGAGGCTTCACAGCTTTTTGGGGTAACCTGTTCAAATGCTTGACTATCCTCATGGCAGAAAACTTTTTCTTCATAACCAGTCTGCACTTCTCCTTTCAACTGACTACCATTGTCCCTTGTTCTCCCACTATGCATCACTGTATTTATGAGGGTCCACTGATGCTATTGATCTAACGATGATCTAAAGATGTGGGCAAGTCGAGGATAGTAGCTTAGGTTAATTTTTTATGAGGCAAGTTAGTTACAGTCTAAAAAAAGTAGACAAAAATCTTCAGAATTTGTTGGTCTGTTTTGTGATCTTTAGATAACAACAATGAAGTCTAAGGCCTAATGCTGAAGATCGATTCATATGCCCCTGAAATTCATGTCTATAGTCCTACTGATGCATATAAATCCATGTGAAATTACAGCAAACATTGTACAAATGATGTGACCTCCAGTTTTTAAAAGAACAAAGAGATATGATTTATAACATCTAACAATTCTGATGTATTTTCAGATGCACATCAATTTAACAACCGTGGTTGAATTTTCCCGTCAGCTGACAGCCTACACAAGAGGTGCTTCCCACTTTGCAGATAAAATGGATGTAATATATTTGGCTTATATTGTGGAAAAGTTAATTGTCTTCGTGGATGAAGTTGAAGATGTAAGTTACTTTCTCTACATTGAAAAAAAGAATATCACTTAGAAGTGAAGCCTTCACATATGGCCCTGTTTTTAACGTATCCAGGCACACAAATCTGAAGTTGATTGCTAATGTTCTGATAGCAGATATTCTGCATGTACTATGATATGTTTCTTTATGCCAAAAAAGGAAAACCAAGCCATCTCATCTTCTTGACAAAGGTGTTGTTGCTTAGGGATAAAAATTGGTTTTCAGTAAGCCTTTTTTTTAATATTAATTTTCATTTTAATTTCTACCATGTCTCACATTTTAGAATTAACTTAAGATGACTCTCCATCTGGCCATGGGAGTTACATACGCTTCTTTTTTTTTTTTTCCATTTCATCAGGAGATTTTCAGAGTTCTAAAAGCATAGATCACTTCACATGAAGAGAAGATAGTGTGTCTTTAAGTGCAAACTGCTGCAGAAACTTTTGGTGTAACGTATGACATTTTTACAGGGAAATCTAATCAGAGTTATGCAAACCCTGGGGGAAAAATTGGCTTTTATAGAAAACAGCAATGGTCATCATAGCATTTACTGTTTTCACAGTAACTGCTTGCATGAAGATTTCATAAACCCTAGTTTTTGTATACATGATAGCTGTATTTAAAATTGGCTCTGGAGATTGTAACAGTTAACATTTTAGTGCCCATTTGAGAAAGCCTCCAACTTCAGTTTCGGAAGACCTAAAGTGTATTATCAAGTGCTCTCGAAGAATCATATTTCAAAGCTACAACTGTATTCCAGCTCAAAATTCTGATAAGATCTTGCCGCTTGCTAACAAAACAAAAATTTACCATCCAAAAGAAACATTTGGATTTACCATAAAGCCTCTATTTTCCTAGCGGCCGATGCATTATCCATTAAAACTGAGCACCATCTCTAATCTTTTAATTGATTTCTTCCTTTTAAATAGGCTTGAGTTTCTGGATTTTGGTATCAAAACATCTCTATTTCCACCGCTTATCTCTGCATCTCCTACTTCATAATCCTGTATTGTTTTCATCATTTAAAACATTTATCCCAATTTGTCTCCGTTTCCTTCTTCTGTTTTGCATTTTACACTTTTCTTCTGTTTCAAGTTCACAAAGTATGTTACTTATTCATTGAGCTCTTTACTAATACCTATTTCTTAACTCTCACTCATAAGGTACGAAAAGAAATGTGAAGTTAAAGTGTCTTTCACACATGAGGCTGTACTCATGTAATTATATATAAGACTTTATATAATACAAGGCAGCATATGAACAAAGGTATGTTAGTTTGCAATTGACTAGCAACTGAAGCTACAATTATGTAAAACAATTATTCATCAAAATACATACACAGAGTTTTTCTGTGATTTATCATATTTCAAAAACCATTTTAGCCAAACTAGTACAGTTTCTGTACATCATCTCTGGGGAATGCCTCTCCCAGTCAGCACAAGATTATTGTTTTTTTACAAGTTATAGTTACTTTGTTCCATCTGGTGGTTCACCTCTTAAAAAAAGAGAGCTTCAACAGCAGTACCAGGGACATATTTGCAATATATACTCTAACTTTTTTGCCAGGAATATGTGCATGCATTAGACCAAATTTTTGTATTTTTTAATGCCATGCATTTACTCTTCATTAATGTATTTAATTATAATATAAATTGCATCCTTTTCTCATTTCTCTCCTTTTGTATATTTATAGACTATTGTTCTGCCCTCAGTAACTTGCTACCTAGCTCATTGGTGTGTGCTTTAATTGTTTCTCATAAATCACTCTAGTCTCTTAATGTGTTTTATTATTATTCATTGTATCAATAACTCTGTCACATTGTCAATAGCCATCTAGAATTATCTAGTAATTATGTTCTCAAAAATAGATTAAATGTTTCAGGAAGTCACATAAAGTTTCACATACAGTCTCATTATTTCTGTGTTCCTTGCAATGCATGTGAAATTTGTGTATTTTTTATTGAAAACACTGATCCAACTTCATAATCTCAGTCATTCCTTAAACCATTTTCACCATTGCTGAATATTCTTTTTTTCCCTCCTACTGAATCATCTTTGTATTTGCCTTATTTTTCTGTTTCCATTAGTTTGACATTTAGCCTCTTGAATTTTTCTTTAGCTATATTTCTCTCAGTCACTTTTTTCACTTCTTTATACCTTTTTATTAAGGTTTATTTGTGATGACCTTGTTTATCTATCCCATGTCTTTGCCTTCAAAAATAATGCTAATGAGGTCATGTTAATTGTGAAATCTCACTCAAATGAAGTTTTAGAATTCAAAAAAAAAATATTTTTATTTCTATTTGAAATAATCTCAAGAAAATATTCACAGTGATGTTTACGCTTTCTAAACACAATATACTAATAAAAATTTGAAGCACATAGTCATACTTAACAAAATCTGCAAAATATCATAGTATCATAGAATCACAGAATGGTTAAGATCATCTAGTTCCAACCCCCCTGCCATGGGCAGGGATGCCTCACCATAGACCATGTCACCCAAGGCTCTGTCCAACTTGGTCTTGAACACTGCCGTGAATGGAGCATTTACCATTTTTTTGGGCAACCTGTTCCAATGCCTCACCATGCTCACAGTAAAGGGCTTCTTCCTTATATCTAACCTGAACTTTGCCAGTTGAAGTTTAAACCCATTACTCCGTGTCCTATCACGGCAGTCCCTGATGGAGAGTACCCTCTTCAGCATCCTTGTAGACCCCCTTCAGATATCATCTGGCAAAACAAAGATTTATCACTTTAGATTCTCCACAAGAATGAATTAAAACATCCAAAGCTATAAGCCTACACTTTCTGTATAGACAATGAGGTGATACAGGTTTGTATCATCACCTGAGTTGCATCTCAAATTTACCCCATTATGTCTGTAGCAAAATTGTTTTTCAATTATATTTTCCTGCTTTATTTTTATTTTTCTTCTACCTCCTGTCCCACTCCCTCTCCTCCCCAAGGTCCTTTGATTAAATATTAAGTAGTTCTTTAGAAAGGCATAGTCAATTTTAATTAGTTTAAGAAAGAGTGTGATAATTCTGGGATTGCATTTATTATCCAAAGAGAGACTCAATTTTTGTGGTGTATCTAGAAGATAAACCTTAGAATTGTGAAGAAAAAAACCTTTCCTTAAAGGCAGTTGCACTTTATTTTTCAAATAATTTAATTTTCTTAATAGAATCAAAACTGTGAGTTTTCCAGTCAATACCATTTTTGGGGGGTCGTTTTATTTTCTCTTCCAGATTGGGGATGCTCTTATTGAAATTGCCAGCAATATAATGTTGGTCGATGACCATGTGTTATGGATGGCTCAAAAAGAAGACAAAGCCTGCACCAGGATTGTACGATGTGTGGAGCACATTGCAAGCCAAATACTGACCAGCAATATTCAAGTTATATCTAAGGTATTTAAAAAAATTACAAAGCTTTTTTTTGACAGAATTTGTTTTTAAAATGTAATTTTTCTCTATAGTTTTTACAGCCAACTAATATATAGACAAGCAAGAGGGGAGATTGTGTAAGCCAGATGCACAACATAGCAAATTTATATAAATATACTTGTATTCTGTGATTATTTGTTTTCTTCTTCTGGATTCTATTTGGAAGACCAAAGTATTTTTTGAGTATCATTGATGGTGTTAAAAAGTGACTTTCATTTATTGCAGTGATTCTTACAAAGGACTGTTCACAACACTATCTTTCTAGTGTTCTTACTATTCACTCAGTTTCTGTTGTTCTTGCCACTATAGTATAGGGGTTTATTTTGAAAGGTACAAGTTGACTGAGTGAACTTTTAATAAGGGAAAAGACAACATGCTCCCTTATTGCTTTAAGATTTTTAATATGCCTTTCAGACAGGATTCTAAGCCATACTTTTTTAGAGTTTAGAAAACTTTCACAAAAGATGTACCTTGTCATAAGGATTACTAATTTGTAGCAGTTTTAGTTTTTTAGAAGTAAGCTGTTGCAGTATGAAATTATTGTTTTTGTTCCTTGTCCTCCACCTACATGAATTTGTCACTTAGATACTCAGGTGTTGTCATTTGACATTGAGAAACTGTCTTTTTGCCAGTTTCAATATCTCAGTAGCAGAAATACATCTAAATCAGAAGCTTGAAACTCATACTTTTATAATTTTAGATAAATCTGTTAAAGCCTCATCACTCCTTGGATTGATTTCCTTGCTATTTCCTTGCTTGTTTGCTTTTAAATAGCCTTTTCTTATTTTCTCAATTGTCCACTGCATTTACATGAATACACTATTGTGCATAATGGCCTTAATTCCTTCACTGTATTGTTTGAAAAGCAGTCTTTCAACCTAAAACAGAAATAAAGGAAGTGTTTTTATTTAATTGCTATTTACATAAAACAAATTGATCAAAAGGCTTATTTTTATTAAATACAAGAGACAATAATGTGCCTTATAGAAACATTTTGCAGTGTGACAGCCAGGAAGGCTCTGTTGATTTGTACTTCAATTTCTTCTAGATTCTATGATTCATTTTAATCTTGAGTGCCAAAGGTCTTTTTTTTCTTCTTGTCACTGCTTCAGGAAGCTGTTGACATTACTGTAAACAGTAATTCTATGTACTCAGATGTGGATCTGTGTCACTAACCTTTTTGCCGTGCTTTATCTTTTTCCTTCTTATAGTTGTCTGTAGGAGAATTAGTTTACTGTTGACTGCAATTTGTAAATAAACAAAGCTGTGGAGTTTTTCTGGTGTCATCTCATGCAAAACCAAACACTTCTGTTCCTTTGGGATGCTAGCCAGCAAAGTGTCTCCCAGAAACTGCACTAGCTTTCTTTACTTTAAACAACAACAAATAAAAACCCTGAAGCTTGGGTAGCCACTAGCTTATAATACAATTCCAGAAAAACACAGCCTCTGTAAGCTGTGTCAGTTGTATAACATGTTTAACTGTTCCCTGTACATTGGAAAGCTACTTGGGAGCCAAAACTGTTACTCCTACATCAGTTTTGGAAGACAAAAATGTTCTTCTAATTCCAAGAGGTTGCTGCATGACTGATTTCAAGGTTAGAAAAACACCAGGATGGATACCTTTGTTTAGATCTTCTAATGTCTCCTTTGCTTTCAAACAGCATACAAAACACACTGCAGGAAGAACAGCCAGTAGCAACTTTCAAATACTATATAATTTCATATATTTTTATATATAATATGATATATGTAGAGTTTAATAATCATATTACAGTATAGCAAAGAAGATGTTATTCTGCCATATGGAATTTAAAATCTTAGAGAAGGCATGCAGGCACAAGGTTCTTACCAGGATGCTGCAGGGCTGGGGCTCCCCAGCCAGGGTCTGTCCCACAGGGGGAGCCTGGGGACAGCCACCAGCAGGTGGTTGCCACGCCAGACCATGGCGAGGGATCAGTGGTGAGCCTGGGGCATCAGGGCTGGTGGCCATGAGCCACCATGGAGTTCAGGTGAGGCCTTGGAGGAGCCTCAGCTTGACGTTGTGTCAGAGGGAAGGGGATGGGAGTCCCCTCAGAGGCCCTGGGTTCAGCCAGAGAAGCCAAGCTGGGCAGCTGAGAACTCCCAGGGTGGATCTCTGTGCCTCAGCACCCTCAGATTAATCTCGCTTCAGTATTATTCTGCACTGCTTCTTCACTTATGTTTCTATTTGTATACATATCAGATGTGCAGTTTGAAAATGAAAACTTCCTGCTGATGATAAAAGCTATCTCAGTGGTCCTGTCTCAGGCATATGCAATAGTTTTAAAATCCACCCCTGAAGAGTTTTTATTTCATTCCTCTGCCAATTAGAATGTCAGAATATTTTAGGCTAATTGGAACATAGTTTTTTGTTTGCACTCACGTTCTTCGGCAGTACTCTGAGCTTGCCCAGGTAACAGTCCCCATTGGCCTTTCTGCCGAGTGATGCCTTTGACTGAGGTTTAGGAAATGGAAACCAAATTATCATTTTCTTATCTGTACTGCTTAGAGACAAGATTAGTTTGTGGCTTTTCATAACATGTACCTGGATGTGGCTTGTTTCCATGGATAATTCTGCCCCAAGTTCATCTGTATCCATTTTGTAGCTCATTTTACAATCTTACATAATGAGCACTGGTTTACCTTGCATTTCACCCATCTATGTGCTGCGAATTGCATGTTCACAGTGCTTGAACGCTGTCAGGCCTTTACAGGAATTTTGGGAGTGCAAAATCCTAAGTCTTTGAAGAATTTAGTATTTAGAATTTATGTAGTAAACATCTTATTCGCCATCACCTCACAAATGTGAAATAGGGAACTAGTATTATGCCCATTCTATAGCAGGAAACATGAAACCATGCACAAATGGCTTTTCCCTATGCTAAAGAGAACCTATAACCACACAGGAGTTTTAACTGAGTAATGTGTCGATTCCTGTGATACAGGTAGTAGTATTCTGCAAGCAGTAAATTTTTTAACTCCTTGAGAGGCTATCTACAACAGATAAAACAAGTTTCAGGTATTAGGACTTTTCAATAGACAACCACTGGATTTTTAATTAAAAAAAAAATTAATGATCTTTGGCATTTTTATTGAAGTGTATAAAAAATAATCACCTCCAGGTAATGACAGAAGAGGTAGAAATTTAATCCTAAAAAGGAATGGTTTATGAATTTAAAAACAACAAAAAAGAATCTTTAGGCTACTTCTACTTTAAAAGTAGTATGTATATTACTTTTATATAAAAAGTATAAAAAATATACTGAAAGCTTCTGGATTTTTGTCTAATTTTGTCAAAAAGTAAAATTGCTTCAGTAGTTTCATTTTGGACACATGCATCAGTGAATGAAGAAAGTGCATTTGAAAACCATTTCATAAGTTCAAAAGAGGACCAGCAAGTGATGCACTGTGTTTCATGCTAAATTGAATTTGTACTGGTACCATGACTTCTACACAGTTAGGCTACCCTCTATCATGCCCTTCTTTTTTTTATGCAAAACATTCTGTTTAGATTAATTTGTTAATATGAATGAATGTGATTTTCTTCAGTGAAGTCATTTCATGTCAGCCAGATGCTCTGAATTCTGTAGGATTCACACCAGTTTTTACCAACTGCATTTAAGGTACTTGTGTTACTAGCTTGCATAGCAGAAGCAAGTTACAATAATACTAAACTACCACATTTGTACATTTAACTTTCTGACAAACCTGCTAGTTTGTGGCTTAACTCCATTGTCTCTACATTGCAATCAACGTGCAAAATGCATACATTCACAGGTCACTAAACAATATATGCCTGGAAGCAGAAACTACAGTCAGTGTGGTGCCAGTCTAAGCTAGTCCCCCTGATTATGACATGAGCTATATATCTCATGCACAGGACTGTGCTGAAATGAATATACTAGTTTAAGGATAGAGAGGCATACCTCTGCACTGTGCTACAGTCTCTGGTTAGACACATAACCTCACTAAAGAGTAGGCCAAAGACCTATATTGTGCTCTTTTAGTGAACCATATAGTCATATTCTAATTGAACAATGACAAAAACCACTTCCTCCACCAAATAGCTAAGCGGCTTTCTGTTTAATTTCTGGAATACAAAGCACATCCTTGTTAATTTTTAAAATAATTTCTGTGACTGCTATTTCACTTCATAACTGTATTGCTTGAAATCAAGATTGATTCCATTGAAGCTGATGACACATTTGCAGAACTGGTCTAATAACTGACAAACATATGTTCCTAAAAAACATTCAAGCAAACCCACTATGTCTGTAGAATTCTAGATCAGTTTTTTAGATAAGTTCCATTTTCTTTCTTACCCTACAAATATGTATGGAAGTGCATGCACACACAATTAGTGCATGTATAATTATTCAATTACACTTGTTGAGTTAGCAGCATATCTGCTTCTCAATGTTTTTACAGGTATCTTCTAATATTGCTCTGGAGGCCTTTATGATCAAGCCATCTAGTTTCACAGGAATGACTTGCACTGCCTTCCAGAAAATAGCTGCAAATTCTGACAAGTCAGTGGTGCATGATTTGGGAAGCTGGGAAGCAAATCACCATCCTGATCAACATTTGAATTTCAAGTGCAACACTGGCAATTTGAATAGTTCTTTGATGAATTCTTCTACCAGGGTAAGTCAGTACAATCATGGTTATAACTTAGCTATTTCAGCATGTTTTCATCAGAATACTGATTAAAAAAATATATATTTTATGTGTTGTTAGCGTTGTAAACTGATTAATGATTTCAACATGCAAGTGGCCTTAAACTGGTGTATCGGGTGTAGCATGTTTTGTTGTGCTAATGCATATTCCATTAATGTAATCAGGTGGAATGCAGGATGTAAATAGAAATGAGTAAATCTCTTGTTTTTTCTATTTTTTTTATCTCTGGGTCCAATTCTGCAAAGTTTTCTATGTGTAAGCATACTCTTTAAAGTAATTTGGAAATATTTTAGTGAAGTATTCTCAGGGGATTTCACATTGCAATTACCTGTACTTCCACAAAATAATATTACATTCTCTAACTTCTGAACTTTATATGGAGGAAGAATGTTACATTTGAGTTTCTGAGTAGTAGCTGATGAGAAGCAATAATAAATAAGCCTTTTAATAGAATGCACTGTTATTATCAAATAATGAAGTGGAACAATTAAATTTTGAACTAGCAGGAAATGAAATTTTGCATTTGGCTGAGCGTGTTATTAAATTTAAGTATTGCAGAGTTGAATTTTTATTATCCTTCAGCTGAATCTTACTTTAATAGACTTATTTCTTGGAATACTTACTATGACAAAATGATACTTTTCTGGACTATATTAGTTGTTTACTGAATTTGAAAGTAGTTTAATTGAAGTTATTTTCTCTTTGGTGCATTTTAATCTTCTTTATGGACTGTGCAGTCAGCGATATGGTACTCTGTGCTCTCAGGAACTTCTGGTACAAGGAAGTCATCTCAGTAAGGAAAGAATAGGATAAATTTATTTCCTGCAATGGAGTTAATTTCTTCTGTGGACCCTGTTAATATGTCTATCTACAGAAAAGAGGAAGTTGTCTCTGAAAAGAGTTTGACATCCGTAAGTTGAAATCCAAATGTCAGATATCTAAAAGATACAAGATTTCAGCAGGAGGCAACCCTGGAACACTCTGCAATGTATGGAATAGTATTATCAATAGAAATATACATGATATTACATTAATTGGAAATTTTTCTTTATCATCTCTACCAATATGTTTGATATTACTCCAGAAACTGAGTACCAACATTTCTAGTAAACAAATCTCTTGAAAGTTTGATGGTCAAGCACTAGTGTGTTCCTCTTCTTATTTGATGTCCCTTTCTAAAATGTTGGCAGAATGTCACAATACAAAGATCCCAGTAAACTTTTCCTAATGTGTTTTGAACCTAGCTGACTTTAGACAACATACAGAAGGTAAACTCTACTGATTGCACAAAGAAGCTAGCAGAATGAAAGTAAATTTAATACCATGCAAAGCAATTTTGAAGCATGCAGTATATATTGTGACAGAAATTACTTTATTAGGTGGATCAGTAGTTACCACCTGTGTATGAATCATAGATTCAGCTAAGTGTTAGTTTCATGGCTTTAGGTTTTAACACTAAGGTCTACTCAGGTTTTAAATGACACCTGTGAATAAACAGACTAAATATATTCCTTGAATTTAATCATAAAAAGCAAAATATTTCATTAATTGTTGTGAAATTAATGAAACTTAGGCTAAGCACTCCTTGAATTTGTTCTGAAGCGATTTGCATTTCTTCATTGTTAATAGAATGGTCTATAGAATTGTAATGGATAACAGAAAATGGGATTATTTATCATCAGCCACTAGCAAAATTATTTCTAAATTTGATCAATGAAGGAAAACAGTAAACCTGACTGTGCTATGCAGTCAGGAAAATAAAGAATTTGCGATGGAGTTGGGAGTTGCTTGTTTTAGTTATCAACTTTTAGTCATTGTATTTTAAAGTAATGCTTGTTATTATGTCTGACTCTTTAGAACTTCATCTTAAATGCTGAGATTATTCTTAGAATCTTCCTCAATTTAGCATGGGAGTAATCACAATAAAAAAATCTGATTAAAATCAGTATATACAAATGGCAATTACAAATTTAATTTACTTCTAATAAAAATGTGATTTTTTTTTCCTTAAAAAGCTCATCAAAAGAGAATATTTGTATATTTTTGTGCTAAGTATTGTAACCCTCTTCAAATGTATAATGTAAATCATCCGCTCACTAAGCATAAGCAATTGTTTGTGCCATCTGTCTGTCGCTAACCAATTGCACTATAAATTTAAAAAGTGAATACTCATGAAACAATTGTGGACATTTGGTGGGAGAAGATGAAATAGATGATCATAAACTAACTTAGTAATACAATCAAAGCTCTTGTAGTTTATCCATAGTCATATTTCCTGGCAATACAGGAAAATCAATACAAATTTAGTCAGTTGTCTGTATGTAATTTAACCTGATCTGGACTGTGGGACAGAGAGCCCCCAGAAGGGGAAGAAAAGTTTAAAATATAATAAATTAGTAAAAAAAAAAAAGTTACAAATAACTGTTGAAAATTAAATAATTTTAAAGTCTCTGAAAGAGATCCACCATTCAGAGAAGTTCAGGACATAACTGTTTAAAATATGCCTAAACCCACTCATGGTTCAAATACGTAGTAGTCCTTTTATAGACTAACTTGGAGTGTTTCCAAATACCTTAAAAAAAAAAAAAAAGAAAGATGAAGACCCAATGCACGTACTAGAGGGAATGGCATCTGACAAAGGGTTATTAATACAATCGGAGGAAGTTTGATACACAAATTTTTTATCTTTAAATCTAATTCTGACTCTGTAGTCAGTAATCAATCTGAAAAGTCAAAAAGAATCACTTATTATTGCAGATCAGAAGTTTCTCCTGGTTGGATTTAGACCCAGATGACTTCTCTTAGATTCTGTTTAGATTCTGCTGTTAGTAGGAAGCTTTTGCTGCCTGACTGGACTCCAGTGGGTAAAAAAAAAAAATGGCTTGGATAAGTTTTCCTAGGTTTTCATGTAGTAGCTTGTATTTTGATACAGTAGTTGTTTTCATCTCTGTTTAGTTAGGCTTAAGGGCATCTTCCCAGCCTGGTACTCCAGACTGAGATCCTGCATAGAAATGCTCCCAAGGCACAATTCTGTCCCATGTCCTGGCTGTGGTCTCAAGGATACCACAATAATGACACACCAAGGCTACTCTAATGTTTGAACTTGCACACTCTTGAGAATAGCATACAAAATTTTAGTGCCATTCAGTATGAATCCAGTGTCTGGTTTCCCTTTGATATTGTACCTGAAGCATACTTTGAACCTAAACTCTGTTCCAGCCTGATCCTGTAACCTATCTCAGGTGCACAAAGGTAATCAGTTATACAATTAACCCTTTCTCTGACTCACTAAAATTGCTTCAACATAATATCAATTTTTAAACCTCATGTACTATCAAAATCAAATGTGTAAGGGACTGTAGATTCATTATTCAGGCTTGGACTTTAAGGTAGGCATTTCATTAACATATTTTACAGTTTCAACTTCATTGAAAACTCTTCAAATAAAAAGGTTTTTCCTCTCTTTAATTATTCTTCTGACACAGGAATGAATTGGCAAAATAAGTTTCAAAATTTCAGTCATCTATATTTTCACGTGTAATCTCCAACTTCTGAAATTTTAATTCCTCCTAATATTCTCCATGTATTCCATTTATCTTTACAATTGTATTTATTTCCTCTATGCTCTGAGTCAGACTGACCTTTCCATTTGTCAGGTTGTATTACAGGTGATGTCCATGTGATAAAATGTTAGAAATTAAACTGATACTGTGGTTGATACAGACATGTTAACCACAAAAATTCTAAAATGCTTTAGCAAAATCTTATGTTTACTTGCTTATACCACTTTAAGACATTATACAATTTTAGAAACATTCTTGTCTCAGATACTTACTGGAAAATATACAATCAGTATGTAAGAAAAGCTTTTTTTTCTTGCATAAAATAAATTTTGGCTATCAGATCCTACAAATAATGTACAAATAACAGTAAATCCATATATAAAAGCTCACAGGAGTACAGAAATTAATGCAAAGATTTCCACAAAGTGACAAGGCATTTGGGGAAGGATAAAGCACAGAGGTAGAAAACCAGAGAAGATCTGTGAAGAAGAAAATTTGAAGCTGCAGAAAATAGATCTCATAATGAAAGTGCCCTTCCTACAATCCACTTTATGTCAAATGTTCAGGGCCTGTATAGATAATTAATTATATCCATTTGGAAGCTGCTTAGTAGAGTGTGCAATAATTAACTTTCTCATTAATGAAAAAGCAAATTCTTATAAAAATAATAATTACCATTTAAGCCAGAGTGTAAGAAGTACAGTTACCAAGCTGTAGGGTTCCAAAATTATTTCCTACAGTACTTCTGCAAAACCAATTAGTTTTGACTAAGGTTTGAGCAATACTTTGTCCTCTGTCAGTGAAACAAAAGCAACAACAGCATTTAAAACTTCTTTTCTAGCTCTTTAGATGATAGATTCTTATTAACAGAGACCTTTCTTTTGCACTGGTAACTTGTAATAATATGTATATTCTAATCACCTGTGAACGTGGTTGTGAAAGTACTTCTGTTTAAGCATGTACTTATTGTTACTGATTTAATTGAGTTGCTTACCCATTTAAGATGTATTTTTACAAGTTCAGGGTGCATGTGTAGAGAATTTTTCAAGACAGTAAGTTCAGCTATGGAAATTTAGAATTCAGAGTAATGCTTAGAATTTGTAAACTCAGTTAAAATGCAATACAAAACAAAAAGACTTCCTGAAACTTGCACAGGACATGGCTATTTATTTTTCTTTTATTAATTTTTCTGGTCCAGTCTATCAGACTAACTGTTCCCCAGCCCAGATCTTCTTTCATTCTCTTCTTCTTTAAAAAAATCACACAATTATTTTTCAGTCTTCTGTTGAGATGGTTTACATTGAAATTTTTCATAACCACATACACTCTATTATCAAAATACCAGCAAACACACCCAACAAAATACTGCTGTACTATAGTATGCCACAGTATATCACCAGGGTAATTTGGTATTTTATAATTTTGCATTTATTTATTTATAGAGTGTAATAACTAGTAAGTTTATAAGCATCATATATATAGCATGAATTATGTTGGCATCATTTCCATCATGATTTCCTCTAATTTCCCAGCACACATAGCTTCTTAGAGAGTATTACAGCACATTCCTCATCTTTTCTTTCTCTGCGCGTAGGTTGTTGGTACGGTCACAAAGGGATTCCTTATGTGATGCAGGGATTTTAAAGTTTATTATATTTTTACCTGTCCATCCTTTATATTTATTCTACATGCTTTTTATCTTTAAATTTTACCTGATAGTGGGTTTTATTGTGATTTAGAATCAATGCAGACATAAAATATCTGTTTATTTAATACTCTGAATAATCACTTTCATTATATTTTTTACATTTAAACATTTTTTTTATATTCTTCATTCTTAGACCTGACATGTAGAAGGTGTAGACAGCTAGCTGTTGGTATCTCTATAACCACTGAGTCCTTGTTTTACAATGAAATTTAAATTAAGTGAAAGCATTTAGTACGAAGAAAAGATCTGAGAGGAATTTCCATTTATATTGAATTATAGCAATGTGATATATAAACTAGTATTTTCTGTGTAGGCATTAATTTCCTCACAGGTGTGTTTAGATTGTAGACTGGGTGCTAGCTATGAAAAAGCTGATATGTCTGTGGTTCAGTTGATTAAATGGGTTTAATTTCTAAACCAAAGCTAGACAAGACAAACTGCCTCTCTCTTTCTTCTTCTAGAAAGCTCAAATCACACATTTATATATTTATACCTCTTACTACTATTCCGTCTCAAACAGTATCTTTACATGTTTACGTCTATGACAACTTTTAACATTTGTAGTTTGGTATTCTGTGTTAAATATACCTTCTTTCTCTGCACATGCTTCATGGTCTTTTATAATGTGGATGCCTTTCCTGCTTTTGCAGATCTTTCTCAATATTGAGAAAATGAAACAATGCCAAAACGCTATTCATACTTGTGGGATAAGTGTCAATTATGTTAAGTATGCAGAAGGGTTTATACAATTTTTATATTTGCTTAGCATGTGTTTTAACATATAAACATTAATGTACATTACTTTTTTTGAATGTAGGAAAAATGTGTCACTTTTTTGTTTCTAGGTACTTAGAACAAAATTTAAAATCTGTAATTACAAGCTCATTTCATTTCTTTTTTTTATCATGCCCTTTGCCACTTCTCTTTTAGCAGATAAGCTTATTCTGCAGAGAATATTAGCCACTTGGAAGTGTTTCCTAAATTTCATTGTTTACAGTATTGACGTTTCAGAGACATGTTTAAAACTTAAAGTTAT